CACCACATGGCGGCAAGGCAGACAAATGTTGCGTCAGTATCTGGCAGAAATCGGTTATACAGACAACATAATCGATGTGCGTTCGAATCGTGTTCGCTCCATTCTTGGACTCAACAATAATGCGGATCATGATGGTGTTGGTGGCGGTGGCGGTGGTAACGCTGGCGGCATTGGCAGCGGTGGCGAGAATCTCAGTCCCAATATAAATGGCAATGAGAGCAATAAACGTGCCTCAGAATCGGAAGGTAGGTCATTATACACCCTCGTCCCCCCTGTTGAAGATTTGAATAATTTGCTCACATTAGGCCGTCATACTCCCGCTAAAAAAGTGCAACAATCGAATGATGCCATCATACTGGACACCGAGGCGGCAGTCATGGCCAATTTTGAGTTCCTTGGACCCACAGAGATGTCCGACGATGATGAAATCTCCGATGATCTGGAAATGGTGGCGACCGACAATGAGGATACTGATGTGAAAATGGCCAAACGGCCCAAGTCAGGAAAGGATATGCTTACCGAAGGTACGACTTAAGTACTATGGTCTTATAGCTAATCCGCTCCCTCTTTATACCGATTTGCAAAGCCCTCCCACCCGTCGCATATTCTGTAGTATTTATATTTTTACTTTGCAAAGTCCCGAAAAAAATAACGATCCATAAGCACCATCCATAACCCAAAAACAAACGCTGTATTTGTTATATGCTTTTCGCTTTCTGTTTCTTTCGCTTTTCTCTACTTCTTCATCTACGTCTTGTTGATGCGTTCATCATTTGCATAGATCTTGAGGCGGAGGTGGGAGAGCAGCTCTTAAACGATATGAATCTAATAACCGAAGGTGCTTTTTACTAATGACTCAAATACAAACAAATCACTAAATTCGAAAACTGCAAAACAATCTTTGGAAATTGCGACAAAATTCTAGATAAAATCTAGCGATGTTTTAAAAATATTAAAAGAAACTAGATATAGTTAGTAAAATGTCAATACGTTTCCATTGATTGTCAATTTATTGATTATTATTGATTTCCCTTTTATATAGTAAATTACATTTCTTATTGCATTTTTTCGCAGAGGTGGATGGTTCCTTGGGACTGGGTGAGCTAGCGCAGCTGACGGTGAACAATGAGTCGGACGGAGCGTACGATGCAAATGCCAAGGACGGCACTGGCGGCAGTGCCGGTGGCGCTGGCTATCGCAAAACCTGGAATGCCAAGTATACGCTGCGTTCGCATTTTGACGGAGTGCGGTCACTGATTTTCCATCCCGAGGAGCCCGTGCTAATTACTGCCTCCGAGGATAATACGCTCAAGCTGTGGAATCTACAGAAGACGGTGCAAGCCAAAAAATCCGCTAGTCTTGATGTTGAGCCGCTCTATACGTTCCGTGCCCACACCGGACCCGTCCTCTGCCTGGGCATGTCATCTAGCGGCGAGACATGTTATTCGGGTGGCCTCGATGGCAACATCGAGTGCTGGCAACTGCCATCGCCCAATATTGATCCATATGATTGCTACGATCCGAACGTGCATTCCGGCACATTGGAGGGTCATACGGACGCTGTTTGGGGTCTGACCACCATGCAGAATAATATTGTGTCATGTTCGGCAGACGGCACCGTTAAGCTGTGGTCACCATATACCAAGGAGCCGCTGCTGCGCACCTATACGGCCGCGGAGGCCGAGGGCGGGCCCTCATCCGTGGACTTTGTGCGCAACGAGGTGGATCACATTGTGGTGGCCTACAACAGTGCACACTGCATCATCTATGACACGGAAACGGGCAAACAGGTGATCAAGCTGGAGGCCTCACAAGAGATGTCCGGAAATACGGGGAAGTTCATTAATAAAGTCGTCTCACATCCGACACTGCCCATCACAATAACCGCACACGAGGATCGCCATATACGCTTCTGGGATAATACATCGGGAACATTGGTGCATTCAATGGTGGCGCATTTGGAGCCGGTTACATCGTTAGCCGTTGATGCCCATGGACTGTATTTGCTGTCCGGTTCACATGACTGCTCCATACGCCTCTGGAATCTGGACAATAAGACGTGCGTGCAGGAGATAACCGCACATCGCAAAAAGTTCGATGAGAGCATATTTGACGTGGCGTTCCATGCAACCAAGCCCTATATAGCGAGTGCCGGTGCTGATGGACTGGCCAAGGTCTTTGTTTAACTTGCGTCGAACTAACCGCAGCCCCAAATTCCCAAATATCCAATCCCAATCCCAAATCTCCACCTTCATACACACAGCCAATGCTGCAGCAGCTCTCAGCTAAGCGATTACGAGTTCGAGTTAAATAATTATACATATAAAAAAATACACTTATATATAACATTATACTACTATACATTTAATTCTAATTATACAATTATATACATGAGATGAACAACAACAAACACACATTGCTATATATATATACATGAAAGGGCATAAATCAACCTAAAAAATAATAATAATAATATATATATATATATATAATAAAATTGACATTATTATGGCATTTCCGAGCGTACGAGCGAGCACCATTTGTAATCTAAAAGATCAAGCGAATACGAATACAATATCTATGCCGCATATTAAACACACATACACACACAAACTATTTGTTAACGGCAAATGTAAAGTTCTTGATTTTATGGCATTTAATTTTTATTTTTTCTTAGCCACAATTTCAACAACTTTATGTTTTATTTTATTTTTTTTTTAATGCAGTCAATTGCCAATCGATGACAATTTAGTTTTTAATTATATTTTATATTGCTCTTAACTGCTCAGCGACTGTGTCAATAGTTGATCCAGTGGGAAGCTTTACTGTACATTTTATATAGAGAAAGAAAAAGCCCTTAAATGATATAATCGATTATGTAATGAAGCTGATGTACGTACCTTTTGCTATATTGGCCATTCGCTGGGCAAGTTTTTTTTTGCAATTAAATGTACTCAGCTAATAAAAAAAACGAAAAAACGTTTACGTAATGATATATAGACGATCAAATTTGTAGAACATAAGCGGCATATATATAATGGTTTATATATATAGCCATTAGCCCCCTCTCTTAATCATACAAAAGGATGAAAAAACGCAAAGAGCGTGAAAGTTGTAAATTAAGTTTAGTAAACGACGACGACGATAAAGATGTTTATGTATTAAAAGTGTGAAAAGTAAACAATCCGAATGGAGTAAACAATCGCCAGAAAACTTTATTAAACACTAAGTGAAAATTAAAATGCTTCGATTTCTATAATTTTTCATATAAAAATCTTAAAGAAAAAGTACGCAATTCTTGGGTTAGAGATCCACAAAAATTTATACAGATCCAGATCCAGATGATATATAAAACATAATAAATAAATGCCGTTGAGCTATAACTGTATGCTAAGCTATTTATTTAATTTATGCCTAGTATTAAACATAATGCAAACAAGAAATGAAAAGGATTTCGTACACTTGTAGTTGAATATATATATATTTATATATGTACTCATAAATATATATCTATATATATATATATATATATATATGATTTGGATCGCTTAACGATTCATTATTTGTAATCAAATAAACGTTAAAAAATGTGGACGTGAATGCCGAGCAACTCAATATTAGTAATAGTATTAACAATTATTAAAAGAAACGGTAACGAAACGCAGCTAAAGAAAAAAATTAAGAAAATGAACCCAAGTTGATATTCGATAAAAACAAATATGTATACATATATATATAAATCAAGTGATGATTTATAATTTATATATACACAAAAAATCCTTTACTATCAACAAATTATGTGTGTTTTAATTCGTACTTTTAGTTGTTACAAATTGAAAATGCGATATCATATATAAATATATACACCCACACACATTGTAGATCTATATGATATACTACTAAAAGAAAAACAAAAACAAAATATAGTGGTAGTTATACAAACAAACACACGCATATACAAACACATTAATGCATTAAATCTATTGATTTTTAATTTTTTAATTGTACATTTTTGATTTTTTATTACATGTATTTTTATTTTAAATAAAGTTTTACAAAATGAATTTGGCCTTGAGATATTTTTACAACACCAATGCATTTGTCAACAATACGAAAATATAAACAATTAAAAGCAATTTTCTAAAACGTTGTGGACCAGCGGGTTCTCGTTTGCAACGATGCAGTTCATCCGAACAGTCAGTAAAAAAAAAAAAAACAAGATCCAAACCTTTGTTGCCTTTTCATTTGAATGAAAGAAACAAGACAAAATTTCCGCTGCTGGCAGCAATTTTCATTTCATAATTAATAAAACGACAAACAAAACAAACGAAGAGAAACTCGCACAAAATGGTTTTTATTTTTGTACCGTTATACAAATCCACTGCCATATTTTCACCAAAACGCAAACATTACGAAATGAATGTCGAAGCTGATTCTAAACAGATTGTAAACATTTTTTATTTATTATTTTCACGCAATGGGATGCCACAATTTATAACATATATATAAAAAAAAAAAAACATTCGATAGTGTTATTCGATAAATAACAGAAGCTGAATGCGCATGATAAAATTAAAAAAAGATCAAAAAAAAAAATAAATAAATTTAATATTAAGTCGTAAAACGTTCATTGTAGATTTGAGCATATAGCGGAATAACCCCAATTCCCAGCACATACGTTCATACATATAGGAAACAAAAATTTAAAAGAAAACTCATGCATATTAATGAAAAAAAATAAAATTAAAATGAAAAAAATATATATATTAAATATAAAAATACTTTTATAATAAATAAAAAACAAACACCATACATGATACTTAAACAACAAGAACAAGAGCAAAAAACATTAAGAAAACTCCACACATTTCATGTTAAGATATAATAAAAATGAATAAATAAAATATTTAAAAGCAATCAAAAATACGTTAAATACGGATTTTGTACAGCACAATTGCACGCTTACAGCACTGCAAATGGTGTGGTGGGTAATCGATAACATTATCTAGCGTCATCGAAAGCGTCACGTACCAATAAGAGATATCGACATAACTACAATTAATAATAATAATAATGGAAGCAAGCGCAATATTTACTGGGAATGTGGATAAAACTCAGATACCACCACTAAATCAAAAGCGTATACTCGCTTTTGTTAATCACTTCCTACTAAATACATGCAATTTTCTCAATGAATTCGCCTTGAATTGCGAGACCAAATTTGTGCGAATGGAGCGACAACTTCAAAGAACTGAAGCTGCTTTAATAATTCTAGAAACGAAGCTTGCATCTATACCGGTGGATAAGGAAGTAGATAATTCCACCACAACGTCTGAAGTAAACACTGAGGCAACAGACGAAACCGATAAGTCAGAAGTAGAAGCACCCGCAGAAATAAAAGGCGTTCGGGTGTGTGAAGATATTCGTTACAAGAAATTCTTCAAAATGCTGCAAGTAGGTGTACCAGCGCCCGCGGTTAAAATAAAAATGAGCACGGAAGGACTGGATTCTGAAATGCTAGAGTAAGTTGACACAACAACAATTATCTCTCCTTAGCTAAAACTATGTTAATTTTCAGTAAGCCCGACTTTATGCTCGAGGATGGCATTCTGGAATAACAAGCGGAATATTGTCCTGAACAGCATATATTGTGATATAGCATGAGCATGAAATGCTACACTTTTAAATGATACAATTGGTAAAATGTACTTCTACAATTTGTTTTATTTTCTCACTTGTTGCCGGACATGACAAAAGCAGTCGATGAAAACTTAAAAACACTTCATTATCAAAAGGTAGCGGGTGATTACAAATCCTGGAAGCTTAGAACTGAATCATCTGTCCCTTGCGCTTCTTGTCACCGCCCAGCTCGAAGTGCTTGCAACGCTTAAGGGGTGTTTGCTTGCGGTATTTGCAATCAGTGCATTCCATACGCAGCACAATTTTCTTGGTGGTCTTGGCCTGTTAGGGAATAAAAGAGTAAATGTATTAATATCAGATTAATAGGTATAATTGTGGAGGTTTTCAAATTTAATATTTGTTTGTTGTGCAGGTGGGGCGCATATCGCATAAAAAGAGGCGAACACGCTGCCATTAAGGCCGCACTCAATGCAAGAACAAATTACTTTTGGCACCTCTTCCCGATGAATTGCTTAAAGCTTCATTCAATAAAGCGCAGTCAATTCAGTTCTACTTAAATGCCAATATTGATATGGTATTATCCCATTGAGTTACTCACCTTCTTCCTGAAGATGGGCTTGGTCTGACCACCGAAACCCTGCTGTTTTCTGTCGTAACGTCTTCTGCCCTGAGCACCCTTACGCTCCTTGGACTTCTTGTACTGCGTCACCTTGTGCAGCTTATGGACCTTGCACTTTTTGCAAAAGGTGCGACGTTGCTTAGGTACATTCACCTATAAGAATCAAACAATACATTAATTTTGGCTTTCTCAGTTCTCTGTTGCCGCCATCACAAATGTTAAACAGTAACACAGAAGCTTGCGTCTCAAATAGAATGCATTGAAAGTACGCACATTCGTTTAATATTGTCACAAAATCACAGACAACATTATGCTGTGCAATAATTAAGAATTTGTTTAACATTTTGAACGATATAAACACGGATGTTTGCTGATTTTCGTCAAAGCCGATCAGAACACCTACCATCTTGAATAGGAAAGAAAACCCAAAAAGACGGAATTAGAGATGTGCAATAGTTATGTATCGCTGTGAATGGCAAAAAACAGTGCTGCCAAGGTTACCTACTTGTAACGATATTCACCAGTCACTAGATATTTCAGTTGCGATAAGTGCTGCCACCACTAATTAGTAAAATTAAACAAAAAAAAAGGAAGGAACTTTGCAACTGAGAGAAAATATCTTTTTCAGCGGCTGACGAGTTTCCTGGTGGGCAGACGGCCATAGTGCTATAATTGTGTGCAATGTAAGAAGTGAGGAAAACATGCATCAACACAATTGCAACCGGATAAACACAATACAAACGGATGTGCCCGTCATTGTGTTAGCGCAATTAGCATAAAATGAGATTGGGCTGCGAATGCGAGAGTGTAATTAAAATGCGAAGAATGTACGCGTTGCTGCCAACCTTGACATTTTGGTTAATCAGCTTTCAATTGCCATCACAATCGGATCAGCTACATATAACAGCGCCCTGCGATCGCAGTCGCAAGGTATTCACCGAGCCCTACGGTGAAATCAGCGATGGCCCCTCCGGCTACAATTATACGCAGGATTCGCACTGTGAATGGCTGATAAAAGCGAAAAATGACAGTCAATTTATAACATTAACATTCCATAGCATGGGCACCGAGTGCTCCTATGACTATATCTACGTATACGATGGCGATTCCTTCAATTCAACACTCTTGGGCAGCTTCAGCGGACGCACACAACCGCAAAAACTAGTCGCACGGAGTGGTAGTGTAAGTGCTATTAAATTATCCATATTCTTACGTCCTTTAATCATCTCAAAATTGTCTACACAGATGCTCATCCTAATGTACAGCGACACAAACTATGTGCTGGATGGATTTCGTGCTTCCTATTACATATCAAACTGCTTGAACAACTGCCACAATCATGGCAAATGCGTGGGCCACCAATGCGTCTGCCATGGCGAATGGGTGGGGCCCGACTGTGAGGATGAGGCGTGCCCACAGAAATGCGGTGAGCATCAGGGTCGCGGAAAGTGCCAGAAAAGCATTTGTCATTGCTCCCCAGGCTACAGTGGTCGCTTGTGTGATCTTAGTGACAATCCACCAGGCAGCAGCTGGCGTTGGCTGGCCACCGATGCAGAGGGCATGACACCGCGTGCTGCACACTCTGCCATTTATATGGAAGACGAGGATGCACTCTATGTGTTTGGGGGCTACGATCTGAACAATGTCATTAGCACGTTGCAGGTACATTAAGAATAGAATTGGTCCAGAAAGCTACCTATTTAACTATATATATTTTTTTTTATAGATATATCGTTTTAGCACCAGCCAATGGGAGGACGAATGGGGCATTCCGCTGCAGAGTCGCCGTCATTTTTATCATCCACAAAAAATTGATCATACACTGTTGAAAGCTGTGCTGCAGCACAAGAACGAAGACGAGGCCAAACTGTGGGGCCTGACCAGCGACGTAAGCTTCTTTCGTAATATCCTCTACACGCTGGCCGAGTCTAATTTACATCAAAGACGCACCCGTTCCTCGCTGCCATTGACTACAGTAAACGCAAACTCTACGGACGAGGAGTTAACTGAATATCTGGAGGATATACTGGAAGAGGTGACCGATCACAAACCACATGGCCGTTATGGACATGCTGCAGATCGGGTTCCAGGAGGCTTTGTCATCTATGGTGGCAAGCATGCCAACGGCAGCTTCTACAATGATCTCTGGCAATACAATAATACGGAAAGTGGCGGCAAATGGAAGCAAATGGCTGTCAGATCAAAGCTACAGCCTCCGGCACTTGCAAGGCATACTTTAACCACCGCCTTGGATTATTTGTATCTGTTTGGCGGCAGTGTGGAATCAGGTGAATTCTCCTCCAGCATTTATCGCATACGCTTGCCTCTCAGTGAAGATTCGCAATGGCAACTCGTTAAGCCGCGAGGCGGGAAAACCTTGGATGTGCGTTTGGCTGCTCATTCGACGGTTTACTATGGAGCAACTAATTCGCTAATTGTATTTGGTGGCATTATGACGAGTTTGGCACGCTTTTCGAAGCTATCGGATCGCATATTTGCATTTCAACTGGATCAGCTGCACTGGACAGAGATCTTATATCCACGGACAGCATTGAGGGATACGAATATACCAAGGGAGCGAGCATTTCATACGGCCACCATATCGGGCAATTATATGATTGTCTTTGGCGGCTATACGCATCGCCATAACAAGGATGAGATATGCTACGACAATCAAATGTATTGGTATCACTTAAGCTGTCACATTTGGATCAATCAGGTGGTCTCCGCCGATGATAGTTTGTACCCGAAGCATCAGGGCGTTTTTGCCCACGCCGCTGCACTGCGTCGCAATCACACCCTGCTAATTGTGGGCGGCTATCACGGCAATGTGAATGCAGATCTGTTTGCCTATGAACTGCCACAGGTGCTACGTGTGGAGAATCCGCTCTACAATCACAATCCGGAGATGGCGTGTCGTCTGCACGCCTCACATACTGCATGTCTATCAAATCCGGAATGCGGCTGGTGCTCGGCGGATAGCAGCTGCTATGGGCGCACAATTGGAGCCAACTGCACCACCAATTTGCAGACGACACGCTGCCCGGGAATTTGCCCCTCCTTGGGTGATTGTCATTCGTGCCTGGTGCACGGCACCCTGTGGGGTGGTGGCAATGCCGCTGCCTTCTCCGTAGCCAGCAAACTGGGCCTCAACGAGTGCACCTGGTGTGTGCAAAATGCCCGCTGTCATTATCGTGCTGACAACTATGGTATGTGCGGCGATAGCACCGGCTGGTGGGGCGAACAAGGCACCGAAATTCGAGAACCTGATATGTGCACCCGCAATGATCGGCGTCCCGGCTTGACCTACATCAAGTATAATTATCCCGTTAACTTCACCATGCCCGATTATGTGGGCATTGTGAACGCTACCATGGTGGACTTTGCCTCGCCGCCCCCCACTGCCTACTTTGAACAGCGGCAGGAGGGTGAAATGTTGGCACGCCTCCTGGGCTTCGTGCGGCCTCTGCAGCAGTGGAACAACAACAATAATTCAGCCATACAGGTGTGCAGCAGCTACTCGTCAGCTGTGCTGCGTGTGGGTCTGGGCATGAATCTCGATATGCTGGACAATGTGACCACGCAAAGCTCAAATCAATCGTACTGCAGCAACGTCCAGCTACCCAGCACCGAGCAGCCATTCCTCATCGATTTTCAAGTGAGTTTATTGTTATATTTTTGATAAAATAACCGTTGCTAAAAGCTTAAAGCTACTAAACAATAGTTAAAAAAAAAAAAAAAAAATATATATATATATATATGTATATACTAATCAAATTAATAAATAAATGATGTTTATGCAATGCTCGTTGCAGGCTCGCCGTCGCATTGGCCAGAACAACATCTACAACACCTACCAGAAGACGAAAATGGAGCTGCAGCATTTGCATAATGGACAGCTGAATGCATTTACCTTCGAGTACTTGGAGCCGTACTATTCCGGCGATTGCACTCAATATAACAATTGTCTGCATTGCCTGACCGATGGCTCCTGCTCGTGGTGTCCACTGACCAGCAAATGTCATCTGAAGTCAGTCAATGAGAGCGCCGTCTGTGTGGCCAATGATACGGATCAGGGCACCCATTGGGCGTACTTGATCAGTCAGCCCAGTCAGTGTGCCAATTGCTCCAACTATGTGACCTGTCGTGCCTGCGTCTCCACGCCTGGCAATGGCGAGTGCGAATGGTGGTTGGATGATGCGCGCTGTGGACGCATTGGCAAATCGAACAGTAGCGTCCGATCCATTGCACAGTGTCCGCGACCGTGTCGCGAGCGTCGCGGCTGCGATCAGTGTCTAGGCGAGCGTGGACGTTGTGTCTGGTGTGAGGCGAGTGCCCAGTGCTTTAGCTTTGCCGTTTATACCAGCGAATACCAGTTTGGCATGTGCCGCGAGTGGATCGACAAGGTGAGCACGCCGCCCATTTCGCCGGCAACTGGACCCTCGTCGG